AACTATTATTTTATTATCAAAAAATAGCAAATTATTTGATAAATAAATATTGTTCTTAATTTCAAAGTACTGTTTCATTTCTAAGGATAAATTTTTGTCTTTTTTAGGCCAAGAAGTTAGACAATATTGCTTCACTTTTGATAAGATTGGATCTAACTCGATTTTCTTTCTAAAGATATGCTTTTTTTCTTCGGACATAGAAATGTCATTGGACAAAGTGTGCACAATATAAGCCATTTCAGGGTCATCTTGTACGTCATCTTTAATATATGCCCTAGACAAAGTGTCTGCGATAACCATATCTCTGCCAGGTAAATATGTAATTTTTCTATTATACTTGAGCAATTTCAACAGCATTCGTTGGAGTCTCGCAGATACTTTCTCTATATCCTTATTATAGATTGAAATTAGGGGCTTGTGATCTGTCTGAATTTCGATTTGGAATCCATAGATAAAATAATGCAGCTTTTCACAAGCAAACACAATTGACCCCAGTTCTTTTTCTATTTGAGCCCATTTTCTTTCGGATCTTGTAAGGCATCTCGAAGCGTAAACAATTGGGTGATCATTTTGAAGTAAACAACAACCGAATGCTTCACTAGACGCATCACATTTGACACGTATTGGAATATTTGGATCAAAAATTTTGAGAACCGGTTCTTGAGATATGATATATTTTAGATTTTGAAGTTCTTTTTCGTGCACCTATGTCCATTCAAATGCCACATTATTATTTTTTGTAAAATTGCGCATATTTGTAGTTAGTTGGGAAAGATTTGGTATTAACCTAGCAAAAAATTTTAAAAGCCCTAAAATTCTCAAAACGTCCGATTTATTTATAGGTGAATCGATGGCTTCAATTGCTTCAATGTTTGAAATATCTGGCTTCACACTGTCCTTCGAAATTTCTTGTCCCAAAAACTTAACCTTGTCCAGTTTATACTGAAATTTTTTAAAATTAAACTTTACATTGTTTTTGAGTGCTCTATGAAGAACCTCTTTAAGGGTTTTATCATGACTTGCCTGTCTTGCCTCATCAACCCCTGAAATAATAAGGTCATCAATAGTTATTTATGTATCAAGGGAATTATGAGGGTGTTAATACCCCAGGGCAAAGTTTGTGTCCCGAGGGCCTTTGGCCTGAGGGACACCAATTGCCTGTGGGTATTAACACCTGATAATTCCCGTGGTACATAGATAATTTTATTTCCTACTGAATCTACTGTATTTTGTCCATTTTTATAAAGAAATAAACCATAAACCAAAATTTCTATTTTTTGTCAAGAGGAGTAGAAGCTTGACTTTTTTGTGCTGAAGCAGTAGGTTTGCGAGCCGAACGTAGTGAGGCTTGCAGTACTGCTGAAGCACAAAAAAGTGCTTCTACTCCGTATGCAACACGCTATTTTTTCTCCAAACTAATAGGGTAAGCTCGGAGGCAAGTGGATGGTTGAGCGGCAGTAAAAGTACGAGCGGCAGTAAAAGTACTTTTGCTGCCGCTGGGGTTGCCAAGCAGCATAGAAATTAAACTTCTACCACCTCGACAGGTGTTAACCTGCTGGATTTGCCTAGCAGCATAGAAATTAAATTTCTGACATCTTGACAGGGGTTAACAAAGTGACGTTTTTTTGACGTTTGGAGAAAAATTAAATTTCTACCACCTCGACAGGTATAATGGTTCATTTACATTCACTTCAAAGTCCAATTTGTCTTGAAATTGACGTGCTTGCCATATGGCGACAGCACAGATCCATTTACATTAAAATAAATTTGAAGTTCACTTCGAAGTGCACTTTAAATTTGAGCGAGCTGTTGTGAAACGTCAAATTTTTAGATTATCCATCCGATTCTCATAAAATTCTGACGTTTTGACTTGACGTTTATGTTCTGCAATGTAAATGATAAAATATCAACCCTCAAATTTAACTTGAAGTTAGAAGTGAATGTAAATGCTCCTTTAACCCGCTGGATTTGCCCAGCAGCATTGAAATTAAATTTCTGACATCTTGACAGGCGTTAACAAAGTGAAGTTTTTTTGACGTTTGGAGAAAAAATTTGTTTACTGGTTTCGGATCAATGCACAACCTTAAAGATTTTATTTGTCACTCATTTGTAAAACGTCACTTATGAAGTCAAAACATAACCAGCGAAAATTGATTTTTACAAGCTACTGGCTCTACTGACTTGTAAAATTGACAGCTAAACTGTAAAAACTTTTTACAAGTCAGTAGAATTATTTATTTTTGAAAAATCGGTTTTATCACAAGAATAATTGCTTGTAGGTACCTTCTGGGAGACTTTTCTGGTGATAAACTGTTGGCTACGACTGAGGCTTCATTAATAATATCTTGTAATAAATTCATTTCTGGAAAAAAATTGCAAAATGGAAATCTGTCAAAAAACCTATTTATAACTAGAAACAACGTCTTAACAACGTATCATTCTCATAGTTATACCAACTACCAAAACTTCTGTGAGAAAAAATCAAGGAAAAACATATAAATTTCAAATTTTTGTTATGTATTGATTTTTTATTTGTCCCTATATCTTTTACAAATGAGTAACAAATAAATTATTGTACATTATACGCCAGGTAGCAGTTTTTACTGGCTCTTGAAGGTGACAAGCTCGCCTGGCGGCTCGCTAGTCATTTCCTTCAATCGCCAGTAAAAACTGTTTTACCTGGCTAATAATGTAAAATACTATATCTGGCTTTTCAACTAATAGAAGACTATTTACCCATTGGGTCGGATATTCAACTTTTTGAATTATATTCTTGCTTTGAAGAGTATCTAAAGTTTCTTTTATTTTTTTGTGCAATGACAATGGTATTTTACGCTGGGCTTGTATAACAGGTTTAACATTTTCTGTCAGCTTAATAGAGCAGAGACCAGGAATTTTTCCTGTGCCTTCAAAAACTTTCTGAAATGACTTATAAATTTGCTCTCTGGTTTTTGGTAAAATTCCAACTATATTAATTCGGGAAAATAAGCCAAACTTGAGACAATCTTCGAGACCAAGAAGAGGTTGAGTATTCGAATCTACTATTACAAACTTAACATCATGACACATATTCTTGTAGTAACATTTTAAAGTAATAAGACCTACAGGTTTTAACCTAAAATTACCGTAAGACAATAGGGTAACATTTGTCTGTGTCAGTGGTTCAGGACAAGAGATTTTGAAATAGGTGTTGATAGGTAAAATACTACAGTCCGCTCCTGTGTCAAGTTTAAATTTTACCTCTGTATCTTCGACACAAAATACCTCAGACCATGCTCGTTTTCCATTTTTAGTACAGCATTCATTTATAAATAACACGTCATCTTGGATACCCTCGCCATCAGAGTCAGATGCTTCTTCATATTTGACTTCTCGTGCCTTTTTCTCGAGCTTTTTCTTCATTGTATAACCACTTTTTTCAACAAAATTGTGAGGATCTTCTTCACTTTTCAAAGCTTTGCATGCTTTCGCAAAATGGTCAATTTCCTGGCATGCAGCACAGGTCTTACGAAATGCTGGACATTGGTTTGGAAAATGTTCATAGAGACATTTAGCGCATTTAATTTTTTTATATTTTTTTTTGGATTAAATTAATTTCTTCCTCAGGGCTAAGCGTTTTTAGGTGTTCCTTGCTGAGAGCCACTGACTTGCAATAGTCCAGGATCTTTTCAGTGTTTAAGTCTGGCTCCCGGATCAATCTGGCTTGTAATTGTTTATCACATAGGCCAACAACCAATCTTTCTCTCACCATTCGTTCTGAGTAAGGTTCGTTGCAATTTTGATTTTTGCATAGAAAATCGCAACTTTTTGCCAGATTTCTCAGCTCAGTTACAAAACTTTCAATGGTTTGATTCTCTTTTTGATGCAAGTTATTGAACCTAAATGCTTCCATGGGGATGCAACATTTTGGCTGAAAGTGAGCATCATAGGTCTCCAATAGTTTATTAAGAGTGCTTTGCTGGTCAGTTGTAAACGTATTAAATAAATCCAGACCAATCCCGCAATCCCCAATATCACTTAGTAAAATAGCAATTTTAATATCTTCTGGTTCATTATTTTTTTCAGAGGCTTTCAAAAAAATTTCAAACTTTTGTTTATAGAGTTTCCAACACTTAAAATTGTTTTCAGTGAGGGGGCCTGGTGGTTTTGTAGTGAAGCTCATTTTTATTTAAGGTGCGATTTCGGTGGTGCTGCTCGAGCTGCGCGACTAGAGATGCTGGCCGCGGCAGCTGTAGCCGCGATGAAAAGATGTTTTCGGTGACGCAGTTCTAGGCAGCCGTTGACTGCGGACTGTAGCATTTTTGTCATTTTAAATTTTTTCGGGGTTTATTAAAAAATATGGATTACGACGATTTGATAACATTAATTTTATTAGAAGAAGAGGAAGATGAAGAAGAATAATACTATTTTTTTGAAACCGTACAAACCAGTGCAGCGGCTGGAGACGCAGCTGCTAGCCGCCGCAGCCAGCCGCGTCACCGAAATCGCACCTTAACAAGCGTTTTCACGAGGAGGTTGGCTTTCTATGTATCTGCTTAACACGTTTTGGGGTACAAACTAGGGAACCAAAGGGAAAAGAGAGCTTTTGCAATCGAGGGCAGTCTTTTTCATGTGCAAACTAGAGCACTGCTTCACTTTTTTCTGTTTTATCGAGGGCACTCTTTTTCTGTGCAAACTAAAGCACTTTTTCACTTTTTCATGTGCAAACTAGGGAACCATTTGAGTCATCACACCTGACACCATGTTGTATATGGGTTCGGACTAAGTAATGCAATAAATTATTAGGTAGAACTGTATATTTAAATCATGAAATTACAACATGAGTTGACTGGAGTTGACTGACTAACTGACTGACTGACTGTCTTTGTTGAACTACTCATAACAATGAAGCCTTATCCACAAAACGTCCCTAGGAGAACAGAAGTATTGTTCCCAGATTATAATCTGCGATGTGTTATAGTAATTAACATAATTGTTAATAGAATAAAATTTCATTCTAGCGACATTGACGACATAAACAGCGATTCTCTACACTTAGACATTTGGGACCACGACGACGAAAGCTCAGTGTTAGAAGCTGTTAGCAAGCTTAATGAAGTTAGAGGAGTTAGAGGTGATTACGTTTAATTGTATCTATCTAATGAGTTTTGTTGTTTGAACCTTATTTTCAGGCCTAGGGAGATTTTTCAAGCAAGTTTGTCAATCGGCTAGACAAAGTTCACAAGACGACTTTTTGGGTTGCGTTACTATACCGCTCCAGGACATACCGTCCACTGGTTTGGAGGGATGGTTCAAATTAGATGCCAGATCACAAAGAAGCAGTGTCCAAGGGAGAATTCGGTGAGAACTTTTTTATAATAAATTTAAGTTTTACATAAGAATTCCCTAATAAGCAAATTTCCTAGTTTCTGTATGCAATTATGATTTGTTTATAATCGCATGCGGGCCCTTGAATTAAGTTAGTTATAAATCAGATTTCTAGTCCGTGCGTGAACGTCAAACAAATCCTTCCATCTAGAGACACCCCTATTTAAATTTGCACATAGAAAGGGAAGGAATTGTGCCCTACTAAAACCGTGAGACAAGTTTTCAAAGTTTCTACCGTGATCAGAGCGTCGAAAGGGTCGATCACGTTTGCGTGAGGCGTCAGGACCCTCCAAAATAGGACTTAGTTAATTAAACTGCAAATAAAGGACAGCGACTGTTCGTACTTGCAACTCCACAGAAGTAAATTAAAATATTTTGGAAGGCATTTACCTCCAAAATCCAGACTATATCAAATTAAAAGTGAATGACACCTATTGCGACTGGCTTCGAATTTTATAATAAAGTCTCATGATGGATCGAATTTTAGAAGAAAAGGGTCGACATTGACATCGAATAGACACACTGAAAGGATTGAGCGATTATAGACATGTTTGTTTTGTTTTTTTATAAAACTCACATCCTCAATCTATCAGTAAATAAAACTATGATAAAATTCTTAAGTGTCCTGAATTGAATTTAAATCAAGTAACTACTACTAGTTTTCTATAAACGTTTTTGGAAGCCATTTATGGTAAAATAGGGTTAGTTTAACCCCTATTTAAAATACACGAGTGTAATGTTTTAGTCATACAAAGTCTATCATAGACCCTTTCCTCGCAGTATTTGACACGTTGGCCTTCAAAACGTGAGCTCCCGTCGCTCAATTTAAATTAGAAACCCCAGGTGGCATTGCCTTAAACCGAGGACGCGCTAAAAAATGTTCGAGCACGTACCCCAAGCAACCTCCAGAATATTAAATGATGTTTAGTCTCGAACGTTTAATTAGGGATTTAACATTGTACGAGTATCGTTTTAATGTTAAAACATGTTGCCTGGCACATGGAAACTTCCTTATTTGAGGGAATTGACTTTCTTGGTGCACAGATTTAGCTAATTTTTAATTCAAAAGCCTTTGCCAACTTTGTAAAGACCTCATTCCTTAACTAAAAGCTATATAGAAACTTCCGGTTTGCTTCCATAATAACCGCATTTGAGAATTTTCGAGTGTAAGCTGCAAGCTTGAGTGTTAATCGAACCACAACGAGCGACATATTCAATTCGAGCGCTGTCTGTTACAGGCTCAAAATGTGGCTGTCGACAAGGGAGAACCGCGGAGTGGCGGACGACGATAATTGGACCGAACTCACACAGCACGAAAGTTTGTATGCAACTTTTGTGGATTACGAACTGAGAAATTGGAACCGCGAAACTTGGACTTGGAGCGGCGACTTACCCGGACCGGCACTAACTATTTTACATCAGCACGCTGTACAGGGTAAGAAACTTCATCTTTGTCTATATATCTTGCAATTATAAACCTCTACTCTATTAATCTATGATATATTATAATGTTGAAGCTTATCAAACTGTGGCGGCTCGTCAAAGGAGGCAGGGGAGGCTAAGCCTCCCCCAAAAATTTGAAAATTCAATCTCAGTTTTTTATTCCTGATTCCTAATTAAAATAATAATTCACAAATTTCAATATTTCAATGTAATTTAGAAAAATCTGATAACATTATATCAATCAATCCTGCGCCTCCACGACAAAAATCTGTAAATCTGGGATACTCAGTAATATGAATAATTAGAAATAATCTTTCGGTGAATGAATGTATTCTTTATTTTGTTTAAATTGATTTTTGGTAGTAAACAATGCACCATGAAGCTCCTCCATTTCTCCACATAGATGGTTCGCCCGGAGTACGTGAATGCACCATAAAGCTCCTCCATTTCTACTGCTCGCAAAGTAAAGCTTCTACTCCTAATACAACAATATACTATTGTTATTACTAGATAAATTTGTTGAGACAAACAACTCAAATTAAATTTAAAAATATATTTGACATCCGGCGAAATCTAAACGTAAAAAGTAATGTTTTGCTAAAAATAATAAAAGTTGGCAACACTGCTTGTTATTGTTTCCACCAACTATTTTAGGGAAGCCTTAACGATAAGTATTCCCTAAAATGACATTTTTACGTGGAAAAATGTCAGTTCTTTTCCGCCATTTCACCTGTGTGTATTTTTTTTCTGTTTTCGTCCAAAACTTCATCTTCAGTAATTTACTATTTTTCCGGTTATTCTAGGCCCATAACCTTTAGAAGATTTATGGATCTTCAATAACACAACAGTATATTTATCAAATATTAAGATACCTAACAGTTTCATATGTCCACAACACCTCATTTTGAATTGATTTTGTGGAATATGATTAAATAAGTGTCTTTGGGGTAGTTTGAGTAAGTCTGCATTTTCTTGATTATTATTGATTCAAATTGATGTGTCGCTCTTTTAATATGTCGCTGTTTTGAATGTCGTTCTTCTCATATGTCGCTATTCTTTTTTGCAATGTCGCTGTTTTAAAGTATCGCGCTTTTGAATGTCCCTTTTCTGATATACCTTTGTTTTTTTTCAGATGTCGCTATTTTCATATGTCGCTTCAATAATATGTCGCGTTTTTTATATCACTATTTCAAATATCGCCCTTTCAAACCGGATCCAAGTCACATTTAAGGTATATATACAGTGAGTTCATATAAAGTCCCGCATATATTCATTATTTTAAAAATGGTAGAATTTTTGAAAAATCACTCAGACACGTCACTTTCTGCAGAAACAGACCTATAATGTCCTATAAATACAACATGAAACAAACACACAGAACTCACCTTCGAGTGCATCTATAAATAAATCGTACAATATTCAATTCAGCAACACCTTCACATTTTTCACATAGTATTTCCCGTTTAATCAAACCATGATTTATCAGAAAATTAATATAATTTAAATTATTTGAATGTAATCTTACAAAATCTCTTTGTTTATAATAATTAAATTTTACTCACTTGTCAAGAGATAAAGGCTAAGAATTAACATAAGCCCATCTCTTTCTCTGAGCCTGGCAAAGAAAAAAATAGAAATACATAAATGTTTGTCTGCTCGCCTATTTTTAACAACACACAATTCACACAAAATGCCTTGTTTCATAATAATCGAATTTTTTGTACTCACCCCTCAAAACTGTGGCCCCCACTCGAAAATTCAATTTTCTAGATAAAATAAACACTGCGACACTTTTCCGAACACTTTAAAGTATTTTTTCTACAAACGTCACTAAAAGTGTCATTTTTAACGGATGCTGTCAGTGTCTAAAATGCCATTTTATGACACTGGTGTTAAAAGTGATTACTTTTAGCACTAGTGCTAAAAGTATCACTTTCAGTGCGTTTGTAGAAAAAATAGTGTATGATATTCGTGCTAAAAGTGATTTTATTTTGTTCAAAGGGATTGAACACTCCGCCTTCGGCGTCGTCTCCCAAACGTCCCTTTTCACAAAATATAATGTCACTTTTAGCACTTATATTATAAATAACTATTTTCCAATTGAAAAGTCCCGAAAAACTGGAAAATTCGAGGAAAAACCGGGATAAAACCTCAAAATGGCTTCATAAAGTTGTTTTTTAATGATTTTTGCTTGCGTCCCTTATTTTAGCATTTAAAACTGGAAATTTTTGATTGAAAATGAAAAAAACTGAAAGCCTCGTACTTTAAATCGGTTTTCCCGATCAAAAAAGCCCTGGAAAAGTGGAAAAACCAAAAAAAAAACCTGTGAAAAATGACATTCTAAAGCCTACTTGATAAAACTTGAATTTTTGTTACTTACCCCTTTGGAAAACTGAAATTTTTTATTGGAAAATGAAGGAAACTAAAAGCCTCGTACTTAAAACCAGTTTTTCTGATTGAACACGGCCTGGAAAAGCGGAAAATTCGAGAAAAAACCTGAATAAAACCACTCAAAAAGTCAAAAATGACTGACTGTCAAAACTGGCAAATGACATTTATTATAAGGCTTACTTGATTGAAGTTGGCCACAAGCGGTGTTGCCACATCAAAACTTCCAGAAAAAGTATTTTAAATGGGATTTTGCTAATTATTGCATTTAAAACTAAAAATTTTCGCTAGAAAATGAAGAAATCTCAAAGCCTCGTACTAGAAATCGGTTTTCTTTACCGAAAAAGCCCTGGAAAGGCGCAAAATCTAGAGAAAAACCTCTAAAAATAACATTTTTAAACCTGCTTGATAAAAGAGAAGTTTTTGTTGCTTACCCCGGAAATTTTTAGCAGAAAATATAGAAAAGTCAAAGCCTCGTACTTAAAACCAGTTTTTCTGATTGAAAATGGCCTGGAAAACTGGAAAATTCGAAGAAAAACGGGGATAAAACCAATCAAAAATAGCCGACTGTCAAAACTGGCAAATGACATTACATTACAAGGCCTACTTGACTAAAACGACGTTGCTACATTTCAAATAGAAAAAAATTACATTCCAAATGGTTTTTTGTATTAAATTTAGTTAAATAATTAATCATTAGTGTTTATAAAATGATATATTCCTAAAATAATGCATTGGAAACTTATTTTTAATGGAAATGACATTCCAAAGCCTGTTTGATAGTGGGTAAGACAAAGAAGGAGATAAGGGAGGATAAAATTTAAGTCTAAAAGTGGAATTTTTTGGTTAAAAAATGAAACAAACTTAAAACCTCGTACTTTAAACCAATTTTCCCAACTGAAAAAACCTTGGAAAAGTGGGAAATTCAAAAAAAAACAACATTCCAAAGCCAAAAACTAAAGTTTTGGTCACTTACGCCATTGGAAAACTGGAAAATTTTGGCACAAAATGAAGAAAACTCAGGGCCTTGTACTTTAAACCGGTGTTTCCGATTGAAAACGACTTGGAAAATCGGAAAATTCGAGGAAAAACTGGATAAAAATATAAAAATGTCAATTGAAAATTGCCGACTGTCAAAACTGGCAAATGACATTCCATTACAAGGCTTGCTTGACTGAAAGCGACGTTGTTACATTTCAAATAGGAAAAATTATATTTCAAATGGTTTTTTAGTTAAATAATTAATTAATAATGTTTATAAGATGACACGTTTCTAAAATGATGCATTGGAAACTCATTGTTAACAAAATTTAATGGAAATGACATTTCAAGGTTTGTTTGATAGTGAGTGAGACAAAGAAGGAGATAAGATAGGATACAATTTAAGTCTAAAAGTGAAAGTTTTTGGTGACAAAAAGAAACAAACTCAAAACCTCGTACTTCAAACCAGTTTTCCTGACTGAAAAAACCCTGGAAAAGTGGAAAATCCAAAGAAAACCAAGATTCCAAAGCCTACTTAATAAAACTAAAGTTTTGGTTACTTACCTCATTGTAAACTGAAATTTTTTGGCACAAAATGTAGGAAATTCAAAGCCTCGTATTTAAAATCGGTTTTCCCGACTGAAAAAGCCCTGGAAAATCGAGGAAAAACTGGATAGAAATGTAAACACGTCAATTAAAAATGGCCGACTGTGAAATCTGGCAAATGACATTTATTATAAAACCTACTTGAAGTTGACCACAAGCGGTGCTGCCACATAAAAATTTCCAGAAAAACCATTTTAAATGGAATTTTGCTAATTATGGCTTTAAAAACTGGAAATTTTTGCTGGAAAATGAAGAAAACTGAAAGCCTCGTACTTCAAAACAGTGGAAAATTCGAAGAAAAACTGGATAAAAATGTAAACACGTCACTGCAAAATAGCCGACTAAAAGCGGCGTTGCCACATGACATCAATAACATTTTAAATGGTTAAATTTAATTAAAACCTGTTGAATAATTAATTAATAACGATTAAAACCAATAAATTTCCTAAATTTTTAGTTTAATTTCAATGAAAATGACAGATTGTTGTTGATTATATGTGAGCAAGACAAAGACAACGATAAAGTAGTATACGATTACAAAAACCTTAAATGGGCAAGACAAAGATACTAAAGATAGAGACAAAGTAGGATGCTATTTAAAACGCAAAATTATCAAATTACAACAAAATTCGATCAAAACCAAACAACTGCTTGACATATCAGAAAAAAATAGTAGATTATACCACGAGTCAATAATGATAGCTATTATTCCCGAGGATTATTACGAAAAGAGCCGCGTTAGCGGCGAGGGAGTAACATTCCGAGGGAATAATAGCCATTATTGCGAGTGGTATACTCTACTTTATTTACGACAAATTAATTTATTTGAGATTTTCAATGAACAAATTTCATCCGTCTCATAATTTTCAATACAAATCCACAAGCACTACACGTTTGACACTGACACTTTTGTGGAATAATGACCATTAATCCCGCTACTCGTCATTAATCCCTGGAGGAATAACATATGTCATTATACTGCCAAAATCACAAATATAATACGCACATTATACATTAGTCGTAAATAAAAATACAATATCAACTGCTAAACATAAAGCAAGCAGTGACATATGCCCATTACATAAACAAAAAGTTCAAGGTAGCCAAAGAACAAATTATTTATTCCTAAATTATGGGAAACCCTATTAAAATTTTATATGCAAGATCACAGAAAAATAAAATGGAAGAAATATAAATTTTGATTAAAGAAGAAAAAATTGATATAGTAATTATAGCAGAAACATGGGTAACGAAACAAGAAATTCAATACTACAACTTTAAAAACTTTGAGAGTATTTATCGAGGGGTGTGCAAATCATTCAGTGAGGTGTACAGTTTGGGATTCAGTACCTTTCAGTATAATCCAGTATCGTTTAGCATTCATTATTTCAGTATTCAGTATGTATTATTAAGTACTATTAAGTACCATTTAGTACTTTTCAGTACCATAGCAGTATTTTTCAGTATCATTCAGTATGATTCAGTATTCATTTATTTGACATAAGTCAGTAATATTAAGTCTTTTTCAGTATTATTCAGTATTCTTTAGTATCTCTCAGTATGGTTCAGTACATTTCAGTACGTTCAGTAATTTTCATTATTCAGTATTTAATAGAATCGGGAATTTTCGACAAAGTCCGTCACGAGCTAACCAATGACAAGAGATCGGGCACATTTTTTTTTTCACCGGTGGACCTACCGACGAGTAGTCTATCTTTGTCTCGTACATCGGAAATCGAAATGACTGACTCATAACATAATGGTGGATAGTTTGATGAAAAAAGAAAACGCCTATGGTGTAGAACGACGGTGGTGCAGGGTGATTGTCTTGATGATATCTGGCAAGGCATAGAGGGTACTTACTTATTTTTGGGGATGATACTTACAGGGGTGTGATCCAAAAAAAAAAAAAAAAAACTTTATTTTATTGAATCAGGAAACAATATCTTAGAACTCTCGTGAAAACCGCTTGAGCTTGTGACGTCACACTACTGGCGTTCAGCGACCATAGTCTCGAAAAGCGGCTAGCCGCACGCATAGTTGAAAACTACCTTCCTTGCTTTTTTTATCTCTGTTTTATGCATTAAGAGTTCCGCATGTTACTTTTCTAGTCGGAAGTTGTAGAATTATAGTTGATTGATGTTTTTTTGCATCAGGTGCATTGACAATTATTATTGTGCATCTTGTTGCAAAAAGCACATAATTATCATCGTAATTAATCATAATTATCAATTTGTGCCTTTTAGGTACTTGTATTTTTCATTTTTTATTTTTCGTCAAAATTAACTCTGAAAATATATACTTACATGAAGAAAAGGAACATTTTCTCGAGTATTCATGGTTCTTATTAAATTTGAGATAAATTATTGAGGGCATGGGCACCCGAAAACAAATTTAGCCTGCTGCGCAGTAGTTACCTTACCGTAATTCATTATTTTTTAGCCTCCTCACTTGAAATAGTCACGAGCCGCCACTGGTTACCGCAAGATTAACCATATTATAATCCCTAGTTAGGATTGTCTTTGTCACAGATACAATTAATTTGCAATAGTTGAATAGTAGTTAAAGGTTCAATTCACCGATGTTAAATACATTATTCCTCCTCTCAAGTACAAAACATTCAGCAGATCTTTTAAACTGGATTCATAGTTATAGTTACATTTAGCAAACAATAATTTTCGAGTCAATATCCTAAGCTGGCCACACCTAATTTCTTATCTGCTTCATTTATTTACTTACTTAGACTTCAATTACTGGAGTCGTTTCCATACAAAACTACTTTGAGCTCCATTAATTTCCTTCGAATCGTGTTTCACTATTTTATCTGCCTATTCATCTGGCTGTAGAGGTACTATCAGATTGAACTGTTTATAGGATTATCCCTAATCTTGTAGATTCCTATTTTAGCTTCCAATGAGATCAAGCATAATTTTAATCAAATGACATTAAATAGTACCTACTTGAGGACTTATAAGCCACTTACAGCTCTTTGCATTCGGTTCCTGTAATTCGTTTCCACAATCCCTAGGTATCTGGCTCGCAGATGCTTCATGGAATTAAGTAGGGGTTTATTCTCAGCTTGAGTAAACGTAAATATTTCAAAAAGGCTGACTTTGTTATAGAGATTATATGAAGTCACTTTGACCTTTCTCTTGAGAATTTCAAATCTAAATTTTCATCTATATTATCAGGATTTTTTTTTTTTTTTTTTTTTTTTTTTACGGATATGCGCACTCGCAAGGAAATGTCCTATCACGCTCGAGAAGCGGCAAGTGCGCGGAAATGTCGGTGTATGTTGGTCTTGAAACGGTTCAGGTTGTAACCTGCAGGGAAAACCGTCGCAGGGAGTTTATTCCACAGCGATGCTGTTCTCCAGAGATATGAATTCTGATATAATGAGGTTCTTGGTGCCTCTAGTTTGACAGTAAATTCATGGTTACCGTCTGTTTGACGGGTTCGCCTGGTAGGTGCTACTCTCGGTGGAATCATACGTGCCAACTCTTCAGAGCATTTTCCGTGATAGTACCTGTAGAAGAGAGATAAATCGCCCACAGATCTGCGATGTTCGAGACCATCCAAGTTACGAGTAAGTGCGGGGTCATTGATCAGCTTGATAGCTCGTTTTTGCACGGTATTCAAAAGCATTAAGGTATGTTTGGGTGCTGCACTCCATATATGTGAGCAGTACTCCATAGTTGGTCGAATCTGGGCTTTGTAGAGTGTCAGCAATTGGCTTGGTGTGTACAGATGTCTTGTACGAAATAGCACCCCCAGCTTTTGGGAGGCCCTTTTAGCAATATCTGCCACGTGACTGTGCCAAGACATGTTGGTCTCTGCAGTAACCCCCAAGATGTTCAACTGACTCTGTAATGTGACAGCACTTCCAGATAGCATGATGTTTGGCTCACCGGTGCTGGTCTTTTTTGAAAACAGAGCTGCTTGGGTTTTCTGCGCGTTGAACTGTACAAGGTTTTTGTTACCCCAGTCCTCTATTATCTCCAGGTCGTTATTTATCTGCGATATTTGAGTTAGTCTAAGATGATGGAATTCACGTGCGGAAAGACCTGTGGGTGGTATGAGTGAGGAGACTACATTGCCATCGTCTGCAAAGCAATAAAGTGGATTTACTGTTTTATCTATGAGGTCATTTATGTAAATCAGGAAAAGAGTTGGCGAAAGGATTGCTCCCTGTGGCACACCAGCATTTATTTGGTAAGAGTTGGAGTTCTGGCCATCCATTGCAACATAAATGGATCTGTCCTTTAGGTAACTTTCAAACCAAGTGCAAAGTTTCGGCGATAATCCCATTGCTTTGAGCTTGTTGAGCAGATTTTCATGCCAAACTTTGTCGAATGCTTTAGATATATCTAAGGCAATTGTTCTTGTTTCACCCCGCAACTCAATCGCTTTTTGCCATAAGTGAGTGACGTATGTAAGTAAATCGCCAGTTGACCTATATTTTCGAAATCCGTATTGCTTATCGTTGATAATTTTGTACTTTTCCAAGTACTTGGTTAGGTGATTGTTCACAACTCTTTCCATTACTTTTGATATCACCGGAAGTAGAGCAATTGGTCTATAGTTTAACGGATCTGTCTTTTTTCCTTTCTTTGGAATGGGTTGTACTGCGGCAGACTTCCATGATGATGGATATACTCCTTGCCTGTAAGACAAATTGAATAATTTAGCGAAAGTTGGGGTGAGTTCGTTGGCGCAATTTTTGAGTACTATTGCGGGAATGCCATCCGGACCCATTGCTTTGTTTGTATCCAGCTTTTTTAGGGATTTTCGTATTTCTCTGTGACAAAAGTGTACCTCTGGCATACTATGGGAAACCCTTTCAATGAACGGTGGAGTTTTTCCGTTTGGCACTGTTAGGTTGGAGTTGGAGGAAAACATTTGGGCAAGCATATTGGCTTTTTCCTCTGATGTTGTGGCTAAGTGATTATTTTTATCTGTAAGTGGTGGTATGGATGACTTGGTGAAGTTAGATCCAACAGCTTTTGCAAGAGACCAAAAAGACCTAGAACTACTTGGACAATTCAGCAACCTGTTTTTTATTCTTTGATTGTATGTTTCTTTAGCGGAGTCAATAGTAATTTTGCAACTATTTCTGGCTTCTATAAATTCTGTGTGGTTTTGAGCGGTTTGTTGTCGTTTCCAAAGGTTATATGCTCTGTGTTTTTTCTGTACAGCCGTTTGACACTGGCTGTTGAACCAAGGTTTTGCATTAGCTCTACGTTTAGTTGTATGTGGGATATATGCGTCCATTCCAGATAAGATTACTTGTGTTATTTCATTACAGCAAATAGTGGGATCAGCTGTTTTAAAGCAAACCTCTTGCCATGGAAAGGATATAACTAACATGGCACTTGCTATGCACTTTACTTCAAACACATTTGCTTGTTTTATTTTAACTCCGTTGATATTTCAAAACTCTTGCTTCGACTGAGTTTCGGGTTAATTTGGGTAAGTTTGAATTAGTTTTCGAAGTAGACGAGAAACATACCGGAAATTGCGTATTTCTCCACGAAATGTATATACCTTTTCAAATATATCTGGCTTTATAATTTGAGCAAATACGAATTCAAAATTTGTATCCTGATATGGATATTAGTTTCTAGCGATTATTAGTAGATATTCTCGACTTTACTTAACGATGTAGCAATCTACGAGTTTAGTTTCCCTTTAATAAAACAAAACTCACTCAAATAAAAAATCTCTTTGCGAGAATCCTTCAAATTCCATTCGAAATTGAGGGTTAAATTTCAACCTGGAATCGAACAGTTTAGTCCGCTAGGGATGAAACAGCATCGTAAAAACGGTTGCAAGAGGATTTTCCACTAAGCCAAACAATTTTCAGGCGACTTAACCGAACTTCAGACTGCCCTGGCTCGGTTTGTGGCCGCGTCCCGGGTGTACCTTAAGAGCCCTTTGGATCCACGCTGGATGCTGCAATTACTAACCGATATCGAGGATTCCTGGAACAATTTCACTCTCACCAGGGAAGAGGAAATGTGGCTGGCGGAAAAGTATACCGCTATGCAGGGTAAGGAATTTACATTTTTTTGATAAAAAATTCAAACGACTCATCTTGGAACAAAGTTAATTTATTACTCGCTCGTGCCAGTGTTGACACAAAAAGTATATTTCATCCCTGTCAGGAGGGGTGTCGAGGCTTAGATTCTCTAAGACTAAAATTTATGACGAGAATTTTAACTTTTGGGCATTTTGAAGATTTATTAAGAGTCATATTGAATTTTGATTTCAGAAAGGTGGCTGCAAGAATTGCGTCATCATCGTCAACTCTTTCCTGCCCTACACCCGCCGTCTTTAGCCAGATTGGAATATTTGCTTAGGTGTTTAGCTTACATGGCAAATATGGTAAGTTATAGAAAATATCCTTTTATGTCTTGATTTTTTTTAGTAACCATTCTATATAATTTCTTGATTCAACCTTTCTCCAATGTCCTCTTCTAAATCTAGATTGAAATCGAAAAAATTAAATTCAATACAAAAGATACGTGATGATAATTCCCCCGGTTTCTCAAGTATCCTTTTAATTCAAAGACTCTTTCGCTCGAGTGCTTCTTGACATAACTTGAAACACTTAACTCAAGGAGGTCAGAATTGTTTACGGAACTTTCAGGACGTTGTCTTTAGAAAGTTTGACAATACGGATTGGATTTAATTTTCAAGTATACTTTGTGATAACTATAACAATTGTTTCTAGAAATCTTTCTGGAAATGCTGCCCGTTCAACAAAGAAATAAGAGGTGAAATAGTGGCAACGTTACGTAAAGGAACTCCCGAATGGTTTAATGGCCTAAAAAACGTCCTAATGAATCCAGAAGAATACGACACCACGTTCGTACATTTTTGTTCGGAGGTTTACGTTCAATTAAAACACGGACTGAATCATTACCATCCTTTATTTGAAGGGTAAGTTTCAAATACCTACGCCAATGGATATTTCAATAAAACAATTGTTTCTTTGTGTATTCTTTACCCGTATACAGCCCCTGTTATTTTATTACGTATACAACATACTATGTAACCCTTATCTCAGTTTTCTGGACGAGCAAATACAGTCAAAAAGGGTTTGTATTCCAGATCAAACAACTCAATTTTTTTTTCTAGGACTAACGGGATACCCTACTTCAGTGTAGTGTTCAAGCAAATCGATAAATTGATGGCGGACGAAGTTATCAATTTCCTGAACCAAAACGAACATCCCGACGCGGCCTACAGTAGACTGATTTTTTCTATTTACATGGAAGTTAATGATGTGGCAACGTTTCATCAAAATCTACCTTCCGGAGGCGACCATAAGCTACTACTTGTCAGGTGCCACGAATGGTTCGAACCTTCTGTTAGCCACTGGTTGAGTGTTTGTAAAGGAAAAGCTTTACAGAGGGTAAATAATATTCGAACTTGTTAGTCATCAGTGCAAACTATCAAGCGAAAGCACACCAACTAGAGATATTAGTCTGCTTCAAACCTGTTTCTCTGAGTTGATGTTTTTTTGGTGGGGAAATCGTCTGATTGAACTCCGAGTAGCACTGCAGCCGGAGGCTTATTGTGCTGAATCTTCCTGTTTACTGCACCCATTTCAAAACCCTGGTTCCCTGCAGTAAGCGAAGTAGGTCTGTTGGATGTTTGCCGTATGTGTCTGAATCTAGTTCATCTTCTCCAAATATATTTTGTCTTCTACGAGTAAGTGCATCGCATTCTGTTATAATATGTTGGGCTATTTCAGTCTCTGTTCCGAATAGACTGCAGCTCGTGTCTCCGTTGTACAAGCCCATTGTTTGCAGGTGCTTCTTTACTGGGGCATGCCCAGTGAGACAGCAGGTTGCTACTCTGAGTTGATTCCTGCTTAGTTGTAGCAGTCTTTTTGTTCTTCTGCTGCATGTCTCACGTATGAAGATTTTCCGATGTACATCCTTGGGTATTTGCTTTTAGTATTGAGCGTGTTTTGCTTTGATCCATTCCTTCAGCTCCTTTCTTACTGTGCTTTTGGGCACTCCTAGAGCTGGTTCGGGACCAAGGTATTCTGTGGATGATCCCCTGCGTGCAAGTTCGTCAGCCTTTTCGTTGCCTCTATCTCTATGTCCTGGTCTGGTACCCACATCAATGTGACATTATTTTGGTCCGCCAAGTTCAGGCACGTAGCAAGTCAAAACCGGGCCCTGGTGCAACATTAGAGACAGCGGGCCCCCCTTTTACCATGGGCATCAGAAGGTTCAAACTCATTGACTGTGGGAGGAAGGGGGGTCAGCCTAGGACGAGAAGTGATTACTTAGGCCAAGAAGAAGTAGTGATTACTTTCTGGCCTAGCCTGGAAAGTATGTTCTCTCCGGCCGAAAAAATAGTGTAATTTATAATAGTGTTGGTACCTACGTTATACGCCTGAAACGTGTTTTTTCGGACTCGTAAAAAAATGTGAACAAAAGTGACATTAAAAATGTTAAATTAATTACTCATTGGCATTAGGTTTGTTTGACACGAATACTAGGAGTCGGAGGGCTGACTGAAAAGAAATCTGTAGAAAACGATATTACAGTTTTCTATTTCGGTTTAAAATCGTCAAAGCGGATATTCCTTGGGCGAGCGTAATATTTTATTTTATTTTTTTGATTTTCTTGTATGTTGTGTCTAAAAAGCGACAGGACTCAAGACACGCCGGGCCCCTAGGGGCCCGGGCCCTTGTGCGCGGCACGACTTGTTGCTACGTCCCTGGCCAAGTTGTTGAAGTTCTTCCCGGCATTCTATTACCAGTGCAGAGTTTGTCTTAGGGTTCTTCAATGCCCCCAGTGCTGCCTGACTGTCTATGAGTAAAGTAAGTCTCCTGTTTTTGCAGGCCGTCATATTGTTGATTCTTGCGAATTATAGTATTGCATTTACCTCTGCCTGGAAAACAGATGTATGTGACCTTAGAGAGAAGAAGGTCTCGGATCTTCCTTAATCCTTGTTGACTATAGATTCTTGCTCCTGTGCCATTCTCAGTCTTTGACCCGTCCGAGTACCAGATGGTCTTTGATATTGGAGAGTGCATGTTGGCTTTCCCATTTCCCCCATTCACTAATTAGGACTTGCAAGGATATGTCGGGTGAGTATTTGGGAAGTGCATAGTCTGTTATCATGTCGAATACTGTCAGATTTATGACTTCCCTTATTTGTGTGTGGTCTGATCTGAGTGTTTGTTTGCTCAGGTTGTTATGTTACAAACAACGACATAATTCTAAATTACAGCATACTTTAACTGAATACATGGGATCAAAACCAAACCAATGACATAATTCTTGATTAAACCTTAACTAAACACATGGGCTCAAAGCCAGAACAACGACATAAACTTCTTAACTTAAGAGTCACAATTATCTGCAATGGGTAAAGGAGCTAGTTTAGCCACAGCTCGCTTGATCACACCTGAAGCAGTACTTATTGACGCAACACGAACTTGTCCATCACTTCCCGGCTGCACTGCATAGACACGTCCAAGGCGCCATTTGAAAGGAGGCAAATCATTGTTTTTAATAAGAACCATGTCATCAATATTCAGGTTGCACTTGGTTGACTTCCATTTCACACGCTGATGCAACTGAGAAATGTATTCCATTGACCATCGTTTCCAGAATAACTGCTTAAGTCTTTCTAGCTGTTCATATAAAGTTAACCTGTTTGTTGTAATGCCTTCCAGGTCATGATAAGGTAATTATTCTGATGTGCGACCAGTTAAAAAATGAGGTGTCAAAACGTTTAAATCATTGGGATACGTTGATAAAGCTGTTAATGGTCTTGAATTCAATACACTTTTCACCTGAGAAACCACTGTGCAAAAACTCTCGAATGTCAATGTGTTAGGTGTAAAAGTCTTAATAAATGATGTTTGGCAGATTTTATTCCTGCTTCCCAGATACCTCCTTGGTGAGGTGAATAAGCAGGGATAAAGTGCCATGTTATATCAAGCGAGGTTCCCAGTTGAACATCAATTTCATCCTTACTTGACCTAAGAAATTGACCCAATTCCCTTAATTGATTATTGGCTCCTACGAAGTTACTGCCATTATCGGAATAAACATGTGACGGCTTGCTTCTTCGAGCAATAAACCTTTGAAATGCCTCCAAAAATGCCATGGTACTTACAGGTAAAAATTTAGGTTTAAACCTAAAACACCGAACGCAATCTCTGACAATTCTTTTTGCAAGATTCTTGCCAGAAATAGGCCAATAACTTTCACGTATATTTGCCAATAGATGGTGAAGACCACAGTGGTAAAGTTTAGCACGCTCATAGTTCAGAATTAGGTAAGTCAAGTGATGCTTGGAACTTAGTAGAATCGGATGCTTCTTTTTTTTACGGATATGCGCACTCGCAAGGAAATGTCCTATCACGCTCGAGAAGCGGCAAGTGCGCGGAAATGTCGGTGTATGTTGGTCTTGAAACGGTTCAGGTTGTAACCTGCAGGGAAAACCGTCGCAGGGAGTTTATTCCACAGCGATGCTGTTCTCCAGAGATATGAATTCTGATATAATGAGGTTCTTGGTGCCTCTAGTTTGACAGTAAATTCATGGTTACCGTCTGTTTGACGGGTTCGCCTGGTAGGTGCTACTCTCGGTGGAATCATACGTGCCAACTCTTCAGAGCATTTTCCGTGATAGTACCTGTAGAAGAGAGATAAATCGCCCACCGTTCTGCGATGTTCGAGACCATCCAAGTTACGAGTAAGTGCGGGGTCATTGATCAGCTTGATAGCTCGTTTTTGCACGGTATTCAAAAGCATTAAGGTATGTTTGGGTGCTGCACTCCATATATGTGAGCAGTACTCCATAGTTGGTCGAATCTGGGCTTTGTAGAGTGTCAGCAATTGGCTTGGTGTGTACAGATGTCTTGTACGAAATAGCACCCCCAGCTTTTGGGAGGCCCTTTTAGCAATATCTGCCACGTGACTGTGCCAAGACATGTTGGTCTCTGCAGTAACCCCCAAGATGTTCAACTGACTCTGTAATGTGACAGCACTTCCAGATAGCATGATGTTTGGCTCACCGGTGCTGGTCTTTTTTGAAAACAGAGCTGCTTGGGTTTTCTGCGCGTTGAACTGTACAAGGTTTTTGTTACCCCAGTCCTCTATTATCTCCAGGTCGTTATTTATCTGCGATATTTGAGTTAGTCTAAGATGATGGAATTCACGTGCGGAAAGACCTGTCGGTGGTATGAGTGAGGAGACTACATTGCCATCGTCTGCAAAGCAATAAAGTGGATTTACTGTTTTATCTATGAGGTCATTTATGTAAATCAGAAAAAGAGTTGGCGAAAGGATTGCTCCCTGTGGCACACCAACATTTATTTGGTAAGAGTTGGAGTTCTGGCCATCCAGTGCAACATAAATGGATCTGTCCTTTAGGTAACTTTCAAACCAAGTGCAAAGTTTCGGCGATAATCCCATTGCTTTGAGCTTGTTGAGCAGATTTTCATGCCAAACTTTGTCGAATGCTTTAGATATATCTAAGGCAATTGTTCTTGTTTCACCCCGCAACTCAATCGCTTTTTGCCATAAGTGAGTGACGTATGTAAGTAAATCGCCAGTTGACCTATATTTTCGAAATCCGTATTGCTTATCGTTGATAATTTTGTACTTTTCCAAGTACTTGGTTAGGTGATTGTTCACAACTCTTTCCATTACTTTTGATATCACCGGAAGTAGAGCAATTGGTCTATAGTTTAACGGATCTGTCTTTTTTCCTTTCTTTGGAATGGGTTGTACTGCGGCAGACTTCCATGATGATGGATATACTCCTTGCCTGTAAGACAAATTGAATAATTTTGCGAAAGTTGGGGTGAGTTCGTTGGCGCAATTTTTGAGTACTATTGCGGGAATGCCATCCGGACCCATTGCTTTGTTTGTATCCAGCTTTTTTAGGGATTTTCGTATTTCTCTGTGATAAAAGGGTACCTCTGGCATACTATGGGAAATCCTTTCAATGAACGGTGGAGTTTTTCCGTTTGGCACTGTTAGGTTGGAGTTGGAGGAAAACATTTGGGCAAGCATATTGGCTTTTTCCTCTGATGTTGTGGCTAAGTGATTATTTTTATCTGTAAGTGGTAGTATGGATGACTTGGTGAAGTTAGATCCAACAGCTTTTGCAAGAGACCAAAAAGACCTAGAACTACTTGGACAATTCAGCAACCTGTTTTTTATTCTTTGATTGTATGTTTCTTTAGCGGAGTCAATAGTAATTTTGCAACTATTTCTGGCTTCTATAAATTCTGTGTGGTTTTGAGCGGTTTGCTGTCGTTTCCAAAGGTTATATGCTCTGTGTTTTTTCTGTACAGCCGTTTGACACTGGCTGTTGAACCAAGGTTTTGCATTAGCTCTACGTTTAGTTGTATGTGGGATATATGCGTCCATTCCA